AAGAAGTAACCTATTGTAATTTGTTTCCTGCAGGTATTCATCGCCGCCGCCCTCCTGGCCGTTGCCGCCGCCACTCCCGCCAACAGCTACGCCCCGCAGCCGGCGTACTCTCATGGCCCGAGCTACCACCAGTCGTCCTACAAGGAGCCGGACCACTACGACACGCCCTACCAGTTTGATTACGCTGTCAACGACCACTACTCTGGTGCCGTCTTCTCCCAGAACGAGAACAGCGACGCCAAGAATGTCAACGGCTACTACACGGTCACCCTGCCCGACGGCCGTACCCAGCACGTCAAGTACGTCGCTGACCACGACGGCTACGGAGGCTACAACGCTGAGGTGACCTACACTGGCGAGCCCCACTACGAGGAGCACAAGCCCAGCTATCACCCGGCCTCGGCCTACAAACCTGCTCGCTCGTATGCCCCGGCCCCGGCCTACAATCCTGCTCGCTCGTATGCCCCTGCCCCGGCGTACAAGCCTGCCCGCTTTTATGCCCCTGCGCCGGCCTACAAGACCAAGTACTAAACACCTAGTGCTTTCTGGTGTGTGAGAACCTATTTATAATATGCAGCGAAATTGCTCTCGTGAAGTCTTATATCAAGTGTAGTGATGATAAAAGCAATACATTGGTGCACAAGAGAACGGACGTATTCGTGACCACAAGAGTAGAGGGATCGATGGAATCCCAACGGAAATGCACATGATCCGGAGACCCCGGCCCCTCCACCGCGGCAGAGACACCCGTATGTTAATACCGGTATTAGTTACTGAAACGTTTAAGGCTGTGGCACCCCCAGCTAATAAGTTTGAAACATGGAACAATCTTGCAGCGTAACCAAAGGGGAAATAAATTTACCATTGCTACTCTCATCGTGCATCTATCAGTATGAGAAATCAGCTATTATTATCACATTCAAGAATGCATCAGATACGATGATATGAGCTCAGTTATACTTGTCGGTAAAATTTCAACCCAAAAAGATAGCACTAGACAGCACAGTTTCTCTGCTGAGTCAATACGCCCCTGTATACGCGGTTGTTGTATGTCCTCGTACCTTGCACAACATTGATTGAAAGCCAATAAACAGCCGTTGTATTGGAAATCATACTAACGAACGCAAAATATGAGCGACTCGACAGTTATATTTTTCTTGGCCTACCTCAAAGAGAATCGACTCATGGATTGCTTAAATGAATGTGCTGCATTTCATAACCAGGGTGGCTTCCAGAAAAAAACAGAACCACATGTATGCTCTTCACGCTTAAAGGGAATATCCCACGTTTGAAGAGATTTAGGCAACCATTAGATATGATGAAACAGGCTCACTTATGAGTGTTGATATAGTTCTAAGTCGAAATCCCCGTTCTAAACAACACAGTTTTGCTTTTTAGTAAATATCCCCTATTATGCGTCATTGTTTCATTACGTCATCGTGCTTTTAAGGTGTGCCATCTGAGTACTTTACGAGATTTGTAACCACAAATGTGCAGCTGGTGTACATTAAAGAAGAGAATCAATATTACAGGCGCCAAAAGCTGTTTTGGATCAAAGGGTCCTTTGATAGCATGTTCGGGTTCAGTAGAAGCTTTGGTGATATGCTCTTCCTTTAGGGATGTACTCCACATTTGCATAGGGATTTGAACTGAAACAGTCATGTTGAGTTTCGTTCGGTTCAGTTCAAAGCCCTGCCCTTCTTAAGACCTAAAACAGTTTAGTTTCGGAGCTAAACACCCACGAAAATGTGCAGATTATTTCGGGGAGGCTATTTCAAGGTCACCCAGCAATCCATAACATTATGAAAGTTCATTGAAATCCTATCATTCTAATGGCTATGCGGTGAGCAGTGCCAATAAAAACATAATTGCCTATTCGCTCATATCTGGCGTCCGTGAGTACGACATCCAGATATGACCGCCGTCACTAAGCTCCCAATCAGTGTTGTGCAAAGTACGACGACGTAATCAAACAATGACGCATGCATACAATACTCCCCTAACACCCCCCAAAATACACCCCTGATATTCATACAGGACAATGCAGAGCATACGTCATCATGTTACGGAGAAGCTGGTATAGTGATTCCCTGAGGATCTTTCTAGAGCGCAGTTCCTATAAATCTGCAGGTCAATGATCTACCATCACTTACCTCTAATATGACGTCTCTATTAAATCAGTGTCCAAGAATTGTCTACTTAAGGTGAAAAGCGACGCCTTACGAGGAGTAATTTTTTACTCCTTTTCCCCATAACTTGTGAATTTTCCACTTCTACCTGATGTTGTTAACCGTGCATATCAAACCCATATTTTCTTTTCCGACGCCTTAAGATGTCATCCAAAACCAACCTCACTTGAAACAATCAAGCATCAACAAGATTCCAAAGAACCTCGACACCTATGGCTGTATCCCGCCTCGTCTACATCTGAATCTTGTCTATGTATAAAAAGGGTAAGAGCACCAGGCACCTTCAAGCCCGAGAGCCCCAAGCGACTCCAGCCGCTTGCATGCATCAAGTTTGGTTTGTTTACAAAATGCATCACAAGTTACAGCCGTGTGCCGAACGCAAGGTTTTCACGCATCTGCAATTTTTTCCGTCGCACCACGAGAGAACTACGCCACCAAAACAACGCCCGGTACAAACACCTGCATGGCCTGGTAGAGAACTTAACTCCACATATTTATTTTACCTAAAAAAAAACTTGACCACTGGATTGCACCACTCCCGAGATGCAGGAGTGAAAGTTCTCTGCAAAATGTTCCGAATGCAAAGTGGTACTTATTTCACACATCAATTGGACTATTTCGCCAGCCGCCCAAACATGCTTGATATGCTCCCAGGAGTGAACAATTCTTAGACGATGAATGAGACAATTTAAAGCAGAGAACATAACTGCAGCATAACTTTTGCACAGTTTAACTCTCAGTTAGCCGCGTTTTTGTTTAATGGCGGGGCTCAAAAGTGATAAATTTAAGCAATTCAGGCTCACTATCCGTCACGGTACATTATCCTAGCGTGCATGGCTTTGGGACAGATCTGGCGGAGCTAATACAGAAGTGTTTGGTAGCGAAATTCTGTATTATAATGCAGACCTGCTCTTACTTTTGCGTTTTAATCTTATAGGTTGGTGGGCATGATTGATATTTATGGTGCGCTGAATGACCCTGTCTGTCACCAAGCCCTGCGAAAGACTATTTGTGTGGGGGAGCGGAAAGAAACGTGCCCTTAAAAAGCCAAGAAAGTTCTCCGATGGAACAACTCATTGCCAACCCTGCCTGCCTTCAACACCTGATTTATAACCAAATTTAGTCATTGTCTATTTTAATCCATCAAGTTTTCATCATCAGATAATTATGATAAAACAAGGCACGTAACGCAGCTATTTTCTTCCATACTTTCAATTATTTGCCTCATATTCGTTGACTCGTCTTAATTGCATGGCAAGTGGCAGCTAAAAATATTGCAAGAATTAGTGATTCACAAATGCTGCTACGACACAAATAGGCTAGACGGGGTGAGTTGAGGTCAGGCTTCTTTAGGTTAGGCTTTGTCACTTTACTTTCGTGAACATACGTATTGGTATTTTGCAAGAAACAGTAACATAATATTTGTATGTCCCGACCCCGTCTTAACAGAAGCCAGAGGTATGCCTTATGTGTTTCATTTGATGTGCTGATGTGCAGGGGTCAAAATATTTTTTGTTTAAATACTTGATGCTTGTTGAAGTCTTTGTTGTTGTTTTTGTTGTTCAATTTCTTTGCTTTATTTTATGTTGAATTATCCTGTGAAAGGAAAGCGCAAAGTGCAGCATCAAAACACTGGTCCTATATGGTTTTTGATGACCACAACACTGCTACGAAATGGCTATTCTTTAATGTATTCTGTTTCACTATAATGACCTAAGATGTTAAAAACATAAGCGATTTTGTCATGTTTATGATATATCGTCCATGCCAACTTGAAATGTATGTCTCTGTTTTCTGGAGCATATCTTTCTGACTAAAAAGTTCCAACTTTTCTGACTTGAATTTCTCACTCCCGCACGGTCTTTTTTTGCGGTGGAATTTTTCATTCCTACGCTGCTTCAACGATTCTAGCTCACAGCAATACATGCGAAGACACTACTATCATATCAAAACACAAGAATATAAATGGCCCGCAGAAACAAGTAATCTCATCTTTCAGAGTCATCAAGGAATGGTTGGCAGGGTCGCAACGGTCGGAATTGAAAGAACAAACAAAATTGTCGCGATAGGCTCACCCAAGAGGACAAACACCGAGGGCTAAAACCAAGGCGTTGAAGAAGAGTTTAAGAAATTCGTGCACCATCACACTGCTGCAGCTTGAAGACTCAAAGTGAAAGTCTCCGCAGGAAAAATCTGATCTTAAGCAATCCCATGAGTGATGGAAACATGAGACGACGAAACCTATTTGGCAAAGAACGTCTCAGTTCGATGACAACGAATGCAGTGACGTTATTTTCATGTAACCTAGCCATCAAACATAAGCACAACCACATAACCCCTAATGCGCAAAATTTCCTTCTCCTTACCGCTTCGAGATGCTAAAAGTTTTAGTTGGTTGGTGTCATTAGATTTAAACGTTTTGCCCATATAACAGTGGGAGGAATGGAGTAATTCGTGGTAAGTTATACTGGTATACGAAAAACATGTCTGTCATATGAAACATTCTGAATGAAAAATTTTGAACTATTGTACAACCAAATGACTGTCACTTCAAGATATGCAATACAAGGTTTAACCCAAAAGCAACGACTTTTGCTGTACTGCGCGGCATCAAGAAATAAAAAAAAACACCGCAACCTGATGTAAAACATGAAGTGGGAACTCCCACATTTACATCTAAATACGAAGAACACCACATATTCGGTCATGAGACCCCGCCCTGCCTCGTTAGCAAGGTAATGATCAGGGTCTACTATAAAACCGCGACACTCCCCGTTCACGGCATCAGTCGACACGACCAACTCTGCAGACATGAAGGTCAGTAGCCCTGTCGTTCACTGCGTAATCAAAAACGACCGAAAGTCAGTAACGGCTCTCATTCAGTGTGCAGTGTCATAAATTCATACCATTCCAACTCTCGGCAGTTCATGACATTGTGAAGCTGAGCGCTACCATACGGGGGAATGTGAATACAAGAAAGGAAAGCCGTAATCTATCGTAATTTGTATTCTTGCAGGTGCTCGCTGCCGCCGCTCTCCTGGCCGTTGCCGCCGCCGCTCCCTCCAACAGCTACGCCCCGAAGCAGGCGTACTCTATGCCCCGAGCTACCACCAGACGTCCTACAAGGAGCCGGACCACTACGACACGCCCTACCAGTTTGATTACGCTGTACACGACCACTACTCCGGTGCCGTCTTCTCTCAGAAAGAGAATCGCGACAACAAAAATGTCAACGGCTACTGCTCGGTCAACCTGCCCGACGGCCGTACCCAGCACGTCAAGTATGTCGCTGACCACGACGGCTACGGAGGCTACAACGCCGAGGTGACCTACACTAGAGAGCCCCACTACGAGGAGCACAAGCCTAGCTACCACCCGGCCCCAGCCTACAATCCCGCTCGCTCTTATGCACCGGCTGCGGCCTACACGTCTACTCTCTCTTATGCCCCTGCGCCGGTCTACAAGACCAAGTACTAGACACATTGTCCCTTATGCTGTATGTGATCACCTATTTATAACGTGAGGCGAATTCGTTCTGGTGGAATCTTGTATCATGTGCTGTGTTGATCAAAGCAATACATTGGTGCACAGAAAACGGACGCATTCCTCACTCCAAAAGTGGAACAATCGACCGAATTCCCACCAAAAATCCTGTTGACAGGTGTTTCTACCTTTTTCACTTACAACTACGCAGTAGAAGTTTTATGCGAGGCTCAACAGTGATGTATACGACGACAGATGCCTTGGTGTGAAAAGTGGATTACAAAAATATCTGACGAGCAGTCACAAACTTGTGTTTTGATGACCAGTACTTTCTCTGCCCACCTACACACAGGGGCGGTAAGTTCATTTTCACCACGGAGCACCTATACGACAACCCACATTCATTTTAATCTTCACCATTTCATTGTCAAATCCATTTCAAGACTATTTCAAGGTCACCCTGACATCAATGGCGCCGCAGTAACGTCATTCAAGTTCGGCCATTCCATCAGTCATGCGGCGATCATGACGAAGAAGAATATTAGTCTCGAGTCGTTTTTATCTGACGTTTGTGATCACAATTTCCAGATATATCGGCCGCCCATGGGCTCCCAATCAACGCAGTGCAACGTGCAATTATGCAACTAAACCATGGCGTATTGAGGGGCATACTCACTCAACAGAGAAATTGCGTTGTCTAGAGATGTCTTTTACACCTAAAACGATGCCAACAGTTATAAGTGAGCCTTTTTCATCGTATCTGATGCACGCTGCAATATTTTGAAATGTGGAACAATCCGATTACAGAAGGGAAGAATTGGTGTTATTTCCCGAGGCTCTGTTGCAGCGGTCTTCAGGCTTACTCTATACTGCATGTTATCTCAGTCGATTCTCGATGCAGATGCGTCGCCTTAACTGAAATTATCATTATATGGCACCTAGAGTAAGATGAGGCTGTTAGATGGATACATGAATGTCTGGAGCATTTTCTGATGCGACTGTTGCGAGGGTAGTGCACTTGGTTTACTGGATTAATGCCATACTAGGAAGTGACCTGCGGCAACGATACCCAAACACCTCCCATGCATCTTGAAAAACGTTATCTACGGAGACCTACATATACCAATATACAAAGTTTTTCAATCTCCTGAGACCGATATAACAGATATCTCCGAATGAATCCTTGGCCTTGTGCTTTATCCTTGTGCTTTAATGTCTTCAGCTGACCTCTGTAGCTCCTTTTTTCCACCCCTGTCACTGCGGTGACGGGTACTTGATATCTGGGTATGGTTTACGCCGGTGTTGCGCAGGGTGTTGGATGTCAGTAAACGAAACTCATCTCATGATTATTTTTACCTGCACCCAAACTGTTTCTTCACCCTGAGAAGTAATAAACATGCCATCAATGTCCACAAATATAAACATTTCTGGGCACGTAATGGGCGGGCCGGCATGGTGGCACAACTTGACATTCTATCATCGTTCATCTGACACTCAATGCGCACAACTCGTAGCATGATGTATCGCGAGATAAAAGTAGCTGTATCCTCTGGAGTACTCACGGACAATTGTGTGCATTGCCCTCCCCCCTCCCCCCTCTCCTGTCTACAATGATCATTGCTACTGGACGTAAATAATGAGGAATTTTTCGTGTTGAAATCAGGCAATAGAAATATGAAAATTAAATCTCATTTTCACTGCAACTGGGAAGTAGCTAGATACTCCCATGTGGCCCATTTTCAGCACTGACGCATATTCACTTATGTAGCCACGCCCGCCGTTCCAGTCAAGGTCAAGACCGCAGGCTTGCATAAGCCAGACCATTCGCTAATTACAGCATTAGTTGACAAGACCAACTCTGCGAACATAAACGTAAGCACCAGGACTCTTGTCGAGTGCCGTATGAATCAAAGCCAATAACCCTGGGACCACTCGCTGAAAACAGCCAAACTGAAGTTCTTCATCTCTCCGACCTCCTGGGAATGAGGCTCTCCACGAACTGACCCATGTTTAATCCCGACCTGGTTTATGCACAGCCGCGGTCAAATTATATGCGTGCTGTATTGAACCCCATGTGTGCAGTTCCGCGCATGCTGGCCAGCACACGAGGCGACTTTGCTACGGCTCTAGATGTGACATTGGCAAACAAATCCATGGCACTTTAGATTTACTTTACATAAAGGTTATCGGCGTGGTGTAACGACTCGGGAGCGCACGAAGTTGCCATCTATACACGACTCGTGAGGTACGAGAGGTACGTAAGGTCCATTAACACGCACTCACCATGCAAACAGTATTCACGAGTAACACAAATAGTGTCTACATGAGTGGTTTTAAAATGAGCATAAATCGCTCCAAGATCATGACCGCAGTTACACCGTAGGTGTGAGCCACACTGCTTCCATAGGTGCGTGATCCACCATTCTTCAGATTGACTTCCGACCGATCTAAAAGAAATCCTAGACATTTTGTTTAGGCTGAGCGGCAACAGATTGGTTTTTAATTGCATATTTGTTTTAAGAACAAAGAAGCTGCCATCTGTTTCAGCAAACGAAGTGAAAGGTCAAACTAGGGCACTATGTGTACTAGTTGATTTTGAACATGATATTGACCCATCTGCAGAAAATATAGATATTTGGTTTTCGGATGCACTTCTCCCTGCCCTCATGTTGTACAAGTGTTTTTGTTGGCTTAAATAACAGGATAAGGCTCGTAATATCATTGCGTATTTTCAGTTAGTCCAAGTGCCTTGTCGGTACGCCGTGCGGTTTTTGAACTTAGATAATTGTGTTTTCACCATGAAGGTACCCTTTACATATGTTTTCATCAAAGTTGAAGACTATACCGCGCTATGGTCCGGGCGATTTGTAGTGGAATTACTAAACAAGAATGGGCAAAAACATGACGCCACACATCACGTGTCGCACATGTTCCAAGAAAAACAGCTCACTGAAAACTTGCTTTCATGAAACCCTTCTAACCTGAAGTTCCGTTTTAATCACGAATATTTGACTTTTCTGATATAGTAGAAAAACTCTCCTACACACCTACTTCGACACGCGCTCGAGTGTGGGTCAACTTGTCTACCTCCCCCTGAAGGCCTCGGGAGTGGTTGCAGAAGGTGCGGCGTAGCCACGTCAATTTTGCACCACTGTAGACAACGGAATAGCTGATCGTTTGGTATCAAAGATGCAGGTGTTCGTTGTAAGGTCGCTGACCTACGACAGGTCAAAGTCAAGATATGGATGCAGCGAGATGGTTTCTAGGCAGTCGGTTAGCCCGATACAAAAACGGAGTGTTAGACGAAGTCATACGTCTCTAACATAGTTTCAATATAAGTGTCCTAGCGTCAGGGATAAAGGTCAGCCCGAAGTAAAAGCTAGCCTGTTTTTTATTCTAGAACTTGGTATATATGGTAGTGTCTGATCCTCATTTTGGGGTTAATGATCACAGGAACCTCATTATACAAGTTCCATGGATTCCTTGAAAATCAATACAGGTCACTGACATAAAATGACTAAGGTCAACATTGTGTTTTTTGGAACTTGCTACCTAGCGTAGTTCCTGACGCTTATGCAACTGCTAAAACAATAGTAGCCATGTATGATTTTCGTTATCATGACATCAGACAGGTCAAACATCCATATTCAAACAAACACAAACATATGCATCAGAATGTAACGAAGCGCAGCTGCGTTTTATGTCATAGGTGAAATCTTTTGACAAAACATAGTTAGTGAAGCGGATATTCAGACATCGTCTTACCACGAGCACGCCGTCTGCAATGCGTAAAATGCTCGCAAATAGCACTTACCTTGCCTTGCTGCGTCTCCAATAGTCGCCGTGGAAGCCCAACTTAGGTAGATGGTTGATGTTATGCTGACCACATTTTTGATGGGGCGAAACGCGTAATGGTAGGTTTGCCTTTCAGGATTTATTTTCATATATGGCTCGCCAACGAGGGCCCACGTGGATCTATTGATGATGCATTACCTCCATGGCGACCTTCATGGTGACGCCACCACAAGTATAGATAACCATATTGTCTTGGTAAAAATATCTTCTGATGGTCACCTCTTTCCTACGCTTTTATCAAATTACAGACAAAAGGATATGGGGACGGCGAAACCAACGTTTTGGGGATGGGCAACTTAACCTTGCAAGGGTCAGCGGCGTCACAAAACATATAAATCTATACCCATGTCTCCATACCCCAATAAAAACAACTTTGGTAACAGTTTTACGAGATGATTGAGACGAAGCTTTATAATCACCGATGAGAAAAGCGTTCCGACTGTCGTCCCCATAATGTGTCAGTACGTAAACAAGACTTCGACTGGCTACCTATTTGGCCATCGACCAGTGTTTTAGAGGCCTCAGAACGACTGGATGGTACTTAACTATCATCAGGTGTGCGTCACAGCCGGCAGCAGATTTTCTGAACCAAATTTTCCTCATGCGATTCGCAGGCGTAATGTGTAGTAATTTTATATTATTGTAACATACAATGTCGTGTAGGAATTCTATTATGGCTCACCATAGCGCTGAACCAAGCATCATCCAGTCCGCCACAGGACCCAGGACACATGACGACTGCTGAAGAGTTACCGGGCCGAAGCATGGTGTGCACACACCCACACCGGACGGGGACGATAGTCTGAAATATTGTTCCATCCGAAAAAGTCCTCTTAAAATCCAGCCCTTTGTACAATTCATTGCACGGCCTATAGAATGGTCAAATAAGTCTGAAATCCTGTCCCAGGCGAGGGCGTACCTTAATGCCTCAGCTGCAATTCACATAAAACATGTCATTATTGAATCCCGTGAATGCGTCATTTTATCCAAATGTATCGTTATCTCGTGAAAAATAACCATCATTTCCCATAGGTGACTTCCTTCAAGGTCAACACTACGTGAAGGGTGATGCAGATAACTTAAACAACCCACAGACTAATAACAATGTGGACGTCATTACACCTCCAACTGGGCAGACACTTCGAATGAGATCCTGGTACCTTGCCAGCACTTCCAATGATGTAAGGTTGATAAGAAGCAGATGAGCAAGCGTAAAATGGCTACATCGACTAATGTTTCACATTCCTGTTTGCCCATTTAAGGATGCTACGTGGCGAAGTTGGCCAGAGCCATTTGTACGAAAGGTAAATCCCCTAAATCAAGCAGCATTACGTAAGCTCTTCAGTGCATTAGCGGGGAACATTGTTCACATAGACAGTAGTATTAGCCTTATTCATAAGAGAAAAACCAGGAGAATGGAGATATAGTTTGGTTGATATTTCGGCAACATGCCTTTATCGAAACAATAGCAGAAGTGAATTCACTTTTGCTATAGTTTCGGTAAAGGCATATTGCAGAAATATCAACCCAACTATATCTCCAAACTCCTGTTTTTTCCGAGGAATGAAACTGCTACTACTGTCTTATCTATGAAAACAAGGAGAAGTATGAAGTAACTTGTGATGAGTTATACGGGTATATGCGACACATTGGCATCTTTCCAGGCATTCTCATTTAAAGAAAAATGAAGCACTGTACAAGCTAATGCCAACAACTACAACTAGTGCGGAACAAAACTTAACGCATCGGCATTTGTTTCATTTCTGCTCTGCAGTGTCAACATAAAATGTCACAATGTGATCTAAACCAGGAATGGAAACTGCTGCACTTACATCTAGATACGGACAACGCCACACATTCTGTCATGAGACCTGGCTCTCCATCCCTAGCACGGTCACCACAGTAGTCTCCTATAAAACCGTGCCACTTGCCGTTGACAGAATTAGTCCACAAGACTAACTCTGCAAAAATGAAGGTCAGTAGCCCCTCTTATTCGCTGCAGAAAGCAGAACGCGTAGCTTTGAGTGCCACCTCTCACTCGAACCACAATGCAATGATACCGTTGTATAACTGAGAAATATTTTTAGGCGAAATATTCCTGGAGGGACGCATGAACTACAATCTATAATAATCTGATTCCTGCAGACGTCCATCGCCGCCGCTCTCCTGGCTGTGGCCGCCGCCGCTCATGCGAACAGCTATGCCCCGAAGCCAGCGTACTCCCATGGCCCGAGCTACCACCAGCCGTCATACAGTGAGACGGACCACTACGACACGCCTTACCAGTTCGACTATGCCATCAACGACTACTACTCCGGCGCTGTGTTCTCTCAGAACGAGAACAGCGACACCAAGAATGTCAACGGCTACTACTCGGTCAACCTGCCCGATAGGAGGAGCACAAGCACAAGGAGCACAAGTCTGGCTACCACCCGGCAGCGGCCTACAAGCCCGCTCGCACTTATGCGCAGGCCCCGGCCTACATGCCCGCTTGCTCCTATGCCCCGGCCCCGGCCTACAAGCTTGCTCGCTCGTATGCCCCTGCCCCGGCCTACAAGCCTGCTCGCTCTTATGCCGCTACGCCGGCATACAAGACCAAGTACTAAAGACCTAGCGTTTCCTGCTGTGTGACAACCTATTTGTAATATAAAGCCGAATTGCTCTTTGGTGTCTTGTATCAAGTATTGTGTCTTGTATTAGTGTATTGAAGAATCTCTCTATAAAAATGGAATTATCTCGTATAACCGACCCATGCACTGCCTTAACGAAGGTGATTTATTTCACATGCACTTAGTTTAGCTTCCAGAAATAAAGTGAAGAGCCATATGTTGATTAGGCTTACAGAAGAGCATATCACCAATAGTTTTCAAGAAGTCGAACATGCTTCAGGAGTAAACTTTGATAAGAAAAAGCTTGTGACACTGTTGATATTGACTTACTTCCTGACGTTTTTCAGAATGATGGCATCATCCATACATTTATTAAGATACCCAAGTCAAATTTAATAGACGTACCTTGCAAGGTCGCTGACCTATGGCAGGTCAAAATCAGGCCATGGTTGCAGCGAAAGCAATTTCTAGGGAATCGTTCAATCTGACCCAACAACGGAGTGTTAGAGAAAGCCATACATTTCTGAGATGATTTCTTAGGCAACACAACAGTGGAATGAGCAAATGACATTGACCTAAGCTCAGGTATGAAGGTCTAACCAAGGTCAAAACCAATCTGTTTTGTTGCTCTGGAGATTGTTGTATGGAACAGATTCTTTTGCTCATTTTCAATTTATTGATAGCAGGAACTGCATTATACATCTTCCATGGACTTCTGAGAGGTCAGAATAGGTCATTGACATAAAATAACCCAGGTCAACATTTTGTTTGAGGAGCATACTGCCTAGCATAACCTTTGTCGGTTAGTCAAATGCAAAACCCAAAGCAATCTTGCATAATTTTGGTCACATTGACCTTCAAAAGTTTAATCAAGGTCACTACCCTTGATGGGCATGAGGCCTTTTGCATAGAAACGGTTCCTGGGGTATGGGAGCAGTTTGGAGACCAACCTTGAACTTTAATTTGTTGTACCTTTTGACCCGAAAGTCATGACCTAGGGACTTGAAAGTTCGCCCTAAGTGAGTTTACGTACAGATCAATACACCTTGTAAATCTGGTGTCTCTAGCTTTCTTAGTTCCCGAGATCTCAGTCGGGGGTCAAATCGACACCCCCACCCGAGCGAAGGGTATCTAGCCGGCTACCTGGGCGCGTGTTAGAAAATAGCAGACAATGCGCAACGTACCTCATCCGTTTATGGGCAAGTTGGTATGGTGGTTTCCTGAGGCTCTATCTGGGACTTTCCTACAAGTTTGCATGTAAATGATATGTCACTGCATATCTCTGATATTACGTGTCTATGTTATGCAGACGACAGCACTATCAATTTTTAAAAACAATGATATTCTTGAGATGGTGCAGAAACTCTTCGCTTAGACTCATTACGAAATGGTTGGAACGGTTGGAATGGTCGGATTTGAAAGTGCAAGCAAAATTGGTACACTACACATTCTCAAGAGAGTTCGTCCCTGACCGACGCCCAGGTCAGAGCTCGCGACCCTCGCTCCCCTCGCCGACCGGGGCCGTAAACAGCCGTGTCAGGCCGAGCGCCAGTCCGTTTCGAAGCCTTAAGTGTGACCGCTCGTGAGTAATAGCGGGTCGCACGGGTGCCAGGCGAGTGACACTTGGTTCAAGGGTGACGTGGAGAGGAACGGAGGATAAGGGCAGGTGAGAAAATGAGTGCTCTGACTGAGGAGCCACTGAAGCGAGCTCTTCTTGCCTGCTTTGACGACAATGAAGTGCGAAACACTCTGCGACATATATTCAAGGAGAAGCTCGAATCTCGCGATAAAGAAACCAAGGAGCTCAAGAAGCAAGTAAGTGAGCAACAAGAAATCATCCGAGCTCAGTCACAGGCAATTGAAGATAGTGAGCGGTACTCCGGACGGAACTGCCTCAATTTCAACGGCATGGCTGAAACCGAAAACGAAAAGCCGGTGCGCATGGCCATTGACCTAGCCAGAACTATGGGCGTCCAGCTTCATGCAGGCGACATTGACCGCGCTCATCGGGTCGGTACACCTCAGCCCGACCCGGACGGCGGCAGCCGCACCCGACCGCTAATCGGCAAGTTTGTGTCCTACACGAAGAAGGAAGATGTATGGAGCTCCCGTAAGCAGCTGGAGACAACCCATCCACCTGGGCACTCTTGTCTGACTCCAGACTCCATCACAAGGGCGTTTGCCACTGAAAACCTGACTAAAAAGAACCAGAAGGTGATGTATGCCGCTCGCCAGCTCAGACGACACAACACAATCTGGGCAGCTTGGAGCGATGGCTGCGTAATGACAATGAAAACAGCGGAAGGAAGCAACACACCTCAAATTAAAACAGAAGGGGACCTACACAGGATTGTCGGGGCAGCTGAGATGACTCGTCGTCGTGCAGCATTCGGGGCAGCCGCCCCCAATGAGGACCGCGGACCGGACAAAGCAGACGCCGCGAGTGGTGCAACATACGCTGACGTTGCGACTGCCGGGGAAAGCTAGACGTAAAATACGAACGGAGAGGTAAACCTCATATGCTAGTACGAGATGCGCTTTGCTTACACCTCAGCCGAAACCTGGTAGCTGTGTGTAATACGGTGGCCGCGGCATTCGTACTTTGTTCGTATTTCTAAGAAGTATGTTGTCAGCTTGGTTTAATGGTCCCAGTGCCCACACTTACTGCTAGAATACAGCTTTTTAGAATGCACGTCGTAGCGATGCTGACCCTGTTGCATTTCTGATTGTTACTCCATACTGCGTGTTTATTGTGGTTGATGTATGGCACTTATGCCCGCGGCTCGCGGTTTGAGATCCATAACTCATAATGTGATATGCTCATATCAGGTGTGCTTTGCCCCAGTGGCATGGCCATGTTTGATGCATGATTAGAGTAACCCTTCTGCTTATTTCTTTTCTGTTCTTCATCATTGCCTCTTTGCTCCAACTAAGTATCTATCTCACAGGTAACGGTTTACAGGATCGCAATCGGCAGCATACAGCAGAATTTTTCCACACATTTATTTTTCAGACTAAACGATTCGCCTAAAAACTTCCAGCCTGCGCGGGCAGCAGACGGGCTGCTGGTTGACGTTGCCGGCCCGGACGCCCGCCGCCGGCCTGAGGCGGCTATATGTGTAGACTTGAGTGGCGGCGGGCGCCTGGCCCGTGTAGGCTGATGGATCGGGCGTGTGGGCAGTGTGTCGCGGGTTCCCTGGCGGTGATGACCATATCTTGTTATTGTTAGGACAGGCGTTCAAATTTAAGTGTTCCGCTTATGCGCCAATCCACTCATCGTACTATTAGTATCAGTATTATACTCCTTAATGTCCATAATCGAAAATAAACATCAATCAAATCAAGAGGACAAATATCAAGGGCCAAAATCCCGTCAATGCAAAGAAATTGAAGAAATCAATGGAGCACCAATTATCGAGACCTGACAAAACTGAACTAGGAAATGGTGAATGACGAAAAGCCCGGTGAATGACGAAAAGACAAAAGGGAAAAATGTTTTTGCCAAAGAACCTTTCATTTCGATGACAACGAATGTAATGATCCTGTCTTCATATAAACTAAGCAATACATATGGCGCTAGCACATCAACTTATTTTCATCAATGGATCCTCCCCGTTCCTACTTCAAAACAATGAAAGCTTTAGTTGATCAGTTTCATTAGATTCAAAAATCATACTCATGAAACAGTAGAAGGGATGGAGTAACAATCCGTGGTGAAGCATACCGGTACCATCGAAACATGTTCGCCTTTTTAAACATTCTGAATGGAGACTTTTTAAGCGACGTACAAACTAATGACTATTATTACAGATAGTGCGACAGCAAATGTAATCCTAACGCACTCATTTAGGTTTTGTGCGGTGCGAATAACGCATTGTGCGGAATCAACAAAACTAACTCACAGTCTGATGCAAAACATGAAGCGGACATTATTACATTTACACCTCGATGCGGATAACGCCGCATATCCTGTCATGAGACCCCACCCTTCCTCGCTGGCAAGGGCACGAGAGGCCTGGTATAAAACCACGCCAGTCTCCTTTCACAGCATCAGTCGACGAGACCAATTGTGCGGACATGGAGGTCAGTTCTAAAAGCTCTCATTGACGACGTGTTCAAGAACGCACGAACTTAATTGACGGCTATCATTTGAGCTTCTAGTGTCATAAATGTATACCATTGTAGTGCTTGTTCGTTGATGACATTGTAAGGCTGAGCGATGTCGTACGGAGAACTACGAATGAAGGAACCGCAACCTGTCATAATTTGTGTTCATGCAGGTGTTCATCGCTGCCGCTCTGCTGGCTATTGCCTCCGCCGCTCCTGCCAACAGCTACGCCCCGCAGCCGGCGTACTCTCATGGTCCGAGCTACCACCAGTCGTCCTACAAGGAGCCGGACCACTACGACACGCCCTACCAGTTTGATTACGCTGTCAACGACTACTACTCCGGTGCCGTGTTCTCCCAGAACGAGAACAGCGACACCAAGAATGTCAACGGCTACTACTCGGTCAACCTGCCGGACGGCCGTACTCAGCATGTCAAGTACGTCGCTGACCACGACGGCTACGGAGGCTACAACGCCGAGGTGACCTACACTAGGGAGCCCCGCTATGAGGAGCACAAGCCTAGCTACCACCCGGCCCCGGCCTACAAGCCTGCTGGCTCTTTTGCCCCGGCCCCGGCCTACAAGCTCGCTCGCTCTTATGCCCCG